TGGATGGATGGATGGATGGATGGATGGATGGATGGATGGACGGATCTTGGATGGGTGAATGGGTGGGTGGTGGGTGGATGGATGGATGGATGGATGGATGGATGGATGGATGGATGGATGGATAGATGGACGGATCTTGGATGGGTGAATGGGTGGGTGGTGGGTGGGTAGATGGATGGATGGATGGATGATTGATAGATGCCTTTTATTTTTGGAGTGTCACTGGCTTAGAACATCATATAGATTTCAGTTATATAGACATCTATCAGCATATACTAAGTATGTGCACCACCAAAAGTCTAGTTTCCTCCCATATTTTCTGGTTTTGTTTGTTTGTTTGTTTTTAAGGAAGAAATTAACTTTACTAACATCTCACTCTTGGCCTGACCCTGGCTCAGCAAGTGTGTCTGGTGGTCTCACGGAGGAACTTACCCAAGAAGGGAGTGGGAAGTCAACCTGTTATCCCAAGCATGGCAGGGCCTTGTGTGGAGGGGTCAAGACAACCTCCTATTCAAGGAGCCACTTGGACGACTCTGTATGTCATTGTACTCACAGTGGTCATTTATTACAGCCAAAGAATATGAAGCAAATCAGCAAAGGGAAAAAACTCCTAGGGAAGACAGGGGAGCTAGTCGCAAGCTTCCTAGAGCCTCTCCCAGGGGAGCCGTGGGGACAAGCTTGATTCCCAGCAGGCAGTGAGCACTCAGGCAGAGTGGCATCCATCAGGGATGAGCCCAGGGTTGTCAGCGGGGACTGTCCATCTAAGGAACACACCAAGATGCCAGGCTGCCAGGAGGAGAGTGGCAGGCAGCTAAGCTAGTTGTTGGCACCATAAGGCAGGGTCACTCTTACAAGCTCCAGGCTCCGGCTCAAGGTTCAGCCTTGCTCACAGGCCTTCTCAGGACAGTCTCAGTTCTGCTCTACCCTTCCCTACCCAGACATTCTCTGCTTTCAGTTTATGGCAACATACCGAGGTTTCCAGAGGCCAGCGTATATTTATGTTACTAGCTTTTAGCTAACGTAACTCATTTATATTATTGAGTCTTAATGAATTGAGCCCCATAAAACTGACAAATGGCCTGGAATGATTCCCTCAAAGAAAACACAAGTTAAAGCAAATGTGCTAATAAAGCACACAAAAGTGTGATTCTACCCAGAATCTTTGTCAGCCCCATGATGAGGTAACCAGCCTTTTAAAATGTCCATGTTCCATGTGTAAATTCCTTGTCTGAGGAGTCCTACTTGACATGTGTGTGGCCACCGCCTGGGAGAATGCTCTAGGCTGGTCACCAGCTCCCCCAACTGCATCCTTTCCCTTTGATACAACTCCTGGGCTGGGTGACTCTGATTTGAATGATGGAGAATGTTGGTATCTGAAGGACAGGAACACAGCGTTGAGTGCCAGGCCCAGCGCTGGTGAGGAAAATATCTTAAATGCTATGAGTTAGTTTCCTCATCTGCAAAGTGGTTTCCTTGCTCAAACTGTGACTTAAAAACAGTCCCACTGGATTTTGTTTTTGTTTTTACAATTATGTACTTAGCCTTTGGCCTATTAACACTTCATGAACAGATGAATGAATTATCAAAGGAATGAACGAACCAATGAGATGGCCTGGAAGGTCTCATGCAACTCTGACAGGCTAGGAATGTCTGGACTGGTCATCACATCAGTTCAGGTTTCAATCCCCAGTAACTCACTTGCTTGCCTTCTCTGTTGTATTTCTTTTCCTGACACCTTGTAATGTGGCCAGCCTACACCGTCTCTAAAGCACTGTGATTCATTCCTGTCTGTCTGATTTCTCCTTAATTTTAAAGTGAAAAGAAGAAGAATGAATCCCAACCTGTACCATTATCAGCATTCACACCTCACCTATCTGTGTTTCAGAATAACTGCTATAATGCTATCACCCTCCTTGATTGGGGGGGTCAGCCATGCAATCCACCAAGCCAGTTCCAATTTTACAAATAAATAGAAAGGGTGAATGTTCTATATCTGAAAAACTAAGGTGCTGACTTGCTATAAAGGCACTCTATGGATGGGTAGGGACATTTCTGGAATTTTCTTCATGTGCCTCCAGCAAATATGGGTGGAAGGACATACCCGGTCAGACTGCTGTATTCACTTCCTCTGGACATGGAGGGCTGACCTGTTGGCTCCAGCCTGGCTGTCTGTGTCTCCTGCCGCAGCCACCTTCTTGCTGTGCTTAGCTGAGAAAGGTGAGAACCTTTCAAGGGAGCTTAGTTCAATAGAGCTAAGAAAAGACCAGACATGAAACAGGAGCTCACAGAGCATTTGTCCTCTTTGACCCAGAACTCAGTGTTATGGGGTGCAGCATGGAACTTGGGAGTATCCTAGGTATGGAGGGTGTCCTGACCAGTCCATGAGGTATTCTGGAAGGGCTGGGGTCTGGTCATGGGAGCAGTGTAGATGTGTGAGGGGTGGGCTCTAGGAAGCCCCCATGACCTGACAGCCAGTGGCCAGGATCCAGGCTGTCGGCCCAATCAGGGCTGATACTATTGCTCACTCCCCAACCTGGAGCAAGGAACCAGGGCCAAGTCGGAGGGAACAGGCTAGTGTCAGAAAGGAGCTTAGTCCTGAGCAGGGTCCCGGGTCCAAGTATGATTTCAGCAGCCAGGCTGATTGGGCTCCCAAGTCCATAGAATACAGTAGAAACCAAGTGACCTGACCTTGGCTAAAGGGGCCCCAGCAACAGAGTCCAGGAGTTTCCACTCCATTCTGGAAAGGTCAGAGGAGACAGGCCCTGCGGGAGTGGGTAGGTTATGTCCCCTCTCTCTTCTGGCCTTTCTTCCTTACTAGCCAGGCTCTTAAGGCCCTGGAGTTGGCCTGGGTGCCTCTGTCAATTGGGTGCCCCCTTGCACCAGCTCTGGCTGGGTCCTGCTCTGCTCTGCCAGATGGCTGGTTTGCTGAGCACTACAGAAGGGCCTAGCAGGCTCATTCACCTACCTTATCTCGACCCTGCGACTCAGGGTCCTCTCTTACCCCAGCCCACATCCCAGAAGCTGAGGGGCTGTAGACTCAGCTGAGGAGACAGAGAAGTCGGCCATCATGGTCCCCTCTGCAGGTTTGCCCTGCCCACCCCCGTGTGGAAGGCACTCAAGGAAGGAAGGGAGGGCCTGGGGGCTGGACTGGGCTGTCAGCCAGTAGTGTCCCCTCAGTGGGCCTGGGACCCTCGGTGCCTCTGTGACAGGCCCCTTCTGGATCATGAATCCATCAAAGACAGTGTTTCAATCTCACATCCCTCTGTGCCCAGGACCCAGGTTCCAACAGGATGGCTCAGAGAACTAAATGTCTACCAAATTGAAATGTGGTTGAAGGGCTATAAGTGCTAATAAAACTCTACCGTATAAGGGAGAGTCAGAAAAACCTCTCTCCACCATCCAGAGTCCCCCAGCTGGGGCGTTCTTGTGAGTGACAAGGTCTGTCCACAAGGAAATGTTAATACCTCTGTTTTTTCTTGGCCTCTAGGTCAGGACCTGGATTCTCACCGTGGGCTACACGACGGCCTTTGGGGCCATGTTTGCAAAGACGTGGAGGGTCCATGCCATCTTCAAAAATGTGAAAATGAAAAAGAAGGTAATCATTGCTTTGGTGTCAGGGTATGGGCAGAGGCCCCATGGCACCTTCTCTGTGCCAGGCAGTGGGCTGTTTGCAGCGTCCTGGGCAGACTGGTAAACCTACTAATCATAGTACATGGGAGTAAGGGCAGGTTGAGAGTGTGGGTGCGTGCTGGGATTCAGGCACTCAGGACAGGTTTCAGGAAGTGTCAGCTAAGCTGAGACCTGGATGGGGCATGGGGGTTAGCCAGGCAGAGGCTGGGAATAGGGGGAACCATGTTGGAGGTGGGGACGGGAAGGAATGTTATCACAGAGCTGAGGCAGGGGGGAGTCCCACAGCACCCCAAAAACTCCTCTTCTTGATTCAAACCCTCCACTCCCCACCTCCCCCCAGGACCCACTTTTAAACCCCTCACCTGGAGAGGACTTGTTCAAAGACCTCTCAGCAAAGCCCTCACGTAGTCTCACCCCACTGTGGAAAGTGCCTGTCATTCCAATTCTCACCCTAACTTGTGTTTGCCTCCAGTTACCTGGCTGGTTGGCCTGGCACCTGTAGCAGGTATCAGCGGTGCTCAGGCCCCTGGGGCCAGCAGGGAACGCAGAAGAGCCGACTTCTGCTCCGGGCTCCACCAATGACCTGCCTGGCACATTCAGCAAACCTCTAAACCTCTCAGGGTCGCTGTTCTTCACCCATAAGCTGGGGGCACCCTGAAGTGGTTCACTGCCCAGGCTGTGATTGTCTCCTGCCTGCTCCTCTCGCGGCTCCTGCAGCACCGGCTGCGTTAGAAGCTTCCTTCACTGCCACACATGCGCATCCACACACACCCCCGCCCCGCCCCTCACACAGACCACTAGGGGATAACTACAGGCTGCAGGTGGACAGAGCAAAGAGCCCCCTCTGCCATCCTTTACCCATGCACACCTGGACAGGCCCCTTCTGGATCGTGAGTCCATCAAAGACAGGGTTTCAATCTCACATCCCTCTGTGCCCAGGACCCAGGTTCCAACAGGATGGCTCAGAGAACTAAATGTCTATCCCGGGCCGGGCTCCACAGCGTGTGTGACAGCTGCCGCCTGCCCGTGAGATGGGAAGCCTGGGCGCCCGTCTCTCTCAGTCCGGTCCCTGCTGCCCATTACAGTCAAACGCGAGCTTCAGACAACCACGAGAAGTAGCCCAGCCCTGGCAGGCTAGAATCACTTCTCGTTGGAGCTTGTCGGAAATGCAAATTCTCAGGTCCCACGCCAGCCCTAGTGAATCAGGCCCTGGGGTGGAGCCCAAGAACGGGGTGCAGATGCAAGCCAAGTTTGTGAGGCACTGATGCCTTCTGGGCCCGCCTGCTCCGAGACTCAGCTAAAGAGATGCCCACACACCCGCTCACAACAACTCTGTGGTGGCGCTGAAGACTCACCATGTGGATTGCTTTGTGTCAAGGTGTGATTCATCCAAATCGTTACCTGTAATAAGAGCCGTTCGCTCCTGTTGGGTGGCAATGCTGGACACATGTCCTGGGACCCAGGGGTTCGGTTGTCTGAAGGCTCGTTGGAGGCAGGGCTGGGTGTTGTGCCTGAGCCTCGATGGGGCGGGGACCTCCCTCCAGCTCTGGGGTCTGGCTGGTTGTGGGCCCCAGTGTAGGGAAGGGCTCTTCTGAGACACTGTCAGCCTCTCTATGTTAAGATTCGGTCACCACTTCTTGTCAGTTGGGAAAATGATTAAGGCTAGAAATGATTTCTCACTCCATTCTGAGGTGAAAAACATCTTGCTCTGGGATTTCTAGTTATTCCAAGAGCAGGTCTTTGATGCTGCAGCTAAGTGTCATTTATCAACAAATCAGAGCAGGTTAAAGGTGTGGAGGTAAAATGTTTACCTTCCACAGCTCAAAACCACAAGTCCAGGACCCAGATGGTTTTGATGAAAGAAATGTAGTAGCCTCAGGTCAAAGCTGGGATTGAATTCTCCAGGATTCCAATGTTTTATGTAACCAAGCTTGGTTTTTACGATTGTTGTGGTTTACTTGGATTTATTTTAAGCTTAGATTTTTTTTCTTTTTAGTGGACCCCTTAATGTTTTATATGTACACATAGGCTAGATTTGCAAATCTATGTGAATTTACAAATGTCATCATTCACATTTTTTCACATAATCTTTTATATGATCTTATCCCACCCTCCCCAGATGCAAACTTCACCCGAGATGGCCATGCTTTTGAAACACATTAGAGGTCTAAGCTTTTGCTTTACCAGTAAAAAATAAAATAAAATAAAACATTAAAGGGAGTTTTGACACATGGTGACAATGAATCCAAATTCTGAACTTGGATGTTTTCATGTTTTCTAAAGATCAATCATGACATCCTGAGTGAGAAACCTTATGAGAATCTTTATTCTGCTTCTTACTGGGATCAAACTGAAACCTTAAAATGAGCACTATCACCCAGAGATTAGATCATCTGCTCAGGGAGGGTATGGGCACCAGCCATCTGAGTGACAAGGTGACAGAAGGCAGGGCCACTGCATCACACAACTTTAAGAGGTACCCCCCTAACTGTAGAATGATGTCCTCAGAACTAGGGAATAGGTCACTCCTAGTAGAAGGACAGTCTGCATCAGTCAAAATATATTTTAGTACATGTTGATGTACTATTCAGTTTTGTCCATGGAAAATGAATATATTTCTTCTTCTTTTTTAAGATTTGTTTATTTATGCATACAGAACTGGGGCCCAGGCCAGAGGTGCAGGAGTGGTGAGAGGCTTCACCAGACACTGAGTGGGGAGTAGAACAGGCCGACTGACTAAGTGCACTGCTGAGGGGAGCAGTGGGCTGATGAGGAGAAGTCTGCTGAGCCATGTGGGTCACTTCCAGGGCGGGGATCAAACTCATGCTGAAATGGCTTTAGCTTATTAGTGCTGTGGTTTAACCCACTGCAGAGAGGTCCTATTTCTTCTTTTAAAAGAAGAAATACTCTTTTTCTCTAAACCAGGAATTGACCAATTATTTTTTTTTAAAAGCTGGGTAATAAATATGTTAGGTTTTGCAGGATATACAGTCCCTGTGGGCAAACTCTCAAGTGAGCTGTTGTAGAGCAAAAGCAGCCATATAGTATACATAAATGGGTATGACTCTTCCAGTAAAGTTTTATTTATAAAACCAAGTGGTGGGCCAAACATGTAGTTTGCTGATCCCTGTTCTAAATAATGGAAGTAACAATAATAGCAATTAACATCTGTTAAACAGCTATTCGGATACTCTAATATGGTTTGTGTGATTATTCTCATTTTGAAGATTAGAAATTGTCTCAGAGGTGTTAGGAAACTTACACAAGGTCACAGCTAATTGTAAGATTCAAACTCTGAAATGATTCTGGATGCTTGAGCGTTCCTGGTGCCTTCACTTCCATTTTTCGTTCAGTGTAAATGAAGCACTGACAACCTAGTCTCAGGGAGAAAACTTAATATCATGGCATCAATATGTGCTAATATAAATGAAAGAAATTATGCAACTTTTGAGGACAAAATTGAAAAATAAGAAAGGACATCAAGTTGCTGAGGTGAAACTGGAGACATGGTCTTGCCTAATGCAAGGTTTCTCTGGTGCTCAGATTTGTATGGTCAGGTCAGTGCTGTTTTATAAATTTGAATTTTTAGATCTTTTTAAAAAGGTTATTTGAATCATCTCTCCTTGACCTTAACTGTGTATATACATGTGGTATTTGTTTAATTATCGATTATTAGTTTGCCCCACTATCATCCATGTACAATAAATGGGTAGGATATAACATTTTGGCCATGGATGTACCCCAGTGACTAGAAAAGAACCTGACTCAGAATAGGCATTCGATAAATGTTTCCACAATTAATACATAAAATGAGGTTCATAACTACTTACCCTAAATCCATTCAGTCACAAATATAGGTAAAATGCCAATCTTAGGAATTGAACACAAACAAAAATCATGTCCTCTTATTCTCAAGATTTTCCTGCGGTGAATTCAGCTATGTGATGATTAGTCCTAGGCCTGGTCCAGCTGGGATGCAATATCACACTTTGACCCTAGGTGTCACTGTCCTACATATAAACACAGAATCCTTAATTATCAAAACCCAAGTGATGGTATCCACACAACTACCCTTTGTTGAGCCTCTCTGCCAGACACTATTAGGTGTTTTCAAAAGTTATCTCCTTTTACTCTTAACTAATTCTGCAGTTTAGGGCTCACAAAATCACATTTGACAAGAACTGGTATCAGAATGAGGTCTTCCAAATCTAAAACCAGAGATGTTTCTCTTGCACCATACTTAAATATAATAAATTGGTTTCCTCCTCCCTGCTTCCCTACCCCCACCACTTCTTGCCATTTTACAAAGGAGAAATGCAGAATGAGAGAAGTGATTTGCCCCGGGTCACATGGGCAGCAAGGGATGGTCCCAGGACTCCAGTCCTGATCCACATAACCCCAAATCCTGTTTCCATGTTACCTCAGACTTCCTACTTGAGCTTTAAAATTGGGAGGACTTTATGACATTTGCCAGAGGGAATTTCTGGTGCTCGTCTTCTAAGGCCACACATACCACATGGAAGTCTACCCCTCAGACAGCAGGAGAAATGCTGCATCCACTCAGGAGGCAGGCCTGTTCCCGGGGCAGGTGACTGACTGAGTGTGGCCCACCATGTTTCCCAGTCCATTCCATTCAGTGTGTGACAGGTTGTATGTGCTGGTGTATAGCTGTTCCATGCTCCTGTTCCTTGTGAGCTCTCAGAAGGAGCCCAGAAGCAGGGCACTGCTGAACAAGTTAAGGTCATTGACCCTTTAAATTAGACTTCTTAGGGAACACTCAGACAGAGGAGGGGACTGAAGGTCACTTACCTGGTAGGGAAGTGGCTGAGCCCAGCAAGTCTGCTTGCCCAGTGTTTGTGGCATCTGCAGCCTCACATCTGCCTAAGTATTCACTGCTTGTTCATTGCGCTGGGTCGGGCCTCCTCCCTGTCACCAGGGCAAGGACCCAGCTCCTTCATGGCCTCCTGCTCTAGGCTCATGCCATGGGTCCGCTGTCAGTGCTGTGGAGGTCAGCCCATCACTGCTTGATGCTTAAACCTCCAGCAGCCCCACCTGAGGCTTCATTACATGGGAGCAGGTGTTCCCCTCCAGCTAATCCATCTTCATCTACTTCCATTGTGCCTCAACATACCCACCCACATCAAACCCCTCACAGAAGGAAAGGGGTGTTTCCTGCAAGAAAAATCAGCACCTACAAATGCCTGGAAAATGAAAATCATGATGCAACCACAGACCAGCAAGTGATTAAAGTATCCACGTGGTACTTGTGTGCGTTTAGGAAGTGGTCAGCCCAGCTCATAAAAGCTCTTGAATGCCAAACAGAGCTTGGCTGATTTTTTCCTATGGGTGATGGGGATTCTTGGGAGACTCTTAAACTTGTGGCAGCATGATGTGGTCACTCCCCTGATCTGGCCCCTTGCATCTTCAAGTTGCTGACATTCTGGCCTCCAGTGGCCTCCAGCAATCCTCCTGGTGCCCCTGTGACAAGTCTCTCCTCCCTGACCTCTGGGCTTCTGGAGGGCAATGCCAGGGTTTGCCCATCTCTGGTCTCCAGTGCCCAGCACTGGCCTGGTACATATGAGTGGTGGTGTTGGGCAGGTTTTTCTGCACCCTTTTCTACCAAGCCTCAGATGGGCAAGAAGAATACAGCAATGAGCAAAATCCAAGTTGCAGGGAGCTCACAATTCAGTAGGGAGGACAGACATAAATCAAATTATCACACATAAATGTGAAGTTGCCACTGTCTGTCATAAGGGGCTTCAAAGGAGATGGATGTGGCCATAAATTCCAGCGAAGTGTTCCCCTGCCTTGCAGCAGAGATGGAGAGTTGATGTGTTTCCCTGATGGGTTTGGACAGTCAGGTGAGGAGACAGTAGGAGCCCGAATGGGCAGGTAGAACCTTCCAGGGAAGTATAAACTGAATCTCCAGCTAGAGGCAATGACCTTGAACTTGCTCAACAGCATCCCATTCTCCTGGCCTCTTCCCACTAGCTCACCATTCCTTCCAACACATTCCCCAAGAAAGTCTGAGAGCTGTCTGTGCACAAGCACCAGGACGTCAAGGTTGGTTCTTACATCCATGCTGACCGGAACAGTTGCAGCAGACCCCATGGGAGGACTCGCCCAGCTTCACAGAGAAGCTGCCTGGGCTCAACCTTGAATGCAGGTGGGAGGTAACAGCAGAAAGGTGGGGAAGAATTTCCAGGGTCAAGCCATGGGCAAATGCTTGGGACCTCAGCAAGCTCTGGATGAGCACCAAATAGAGGAGCCCCTTCCAGCCTGCCCCTGATTCTGAAGCTCCTTGGGCACTTGTTCCTTTTTCCCAGCTTCTCCAGGCTGGCAGAGTCGCTGATTCCCCAGAGAGTGAGGATTAAGCCAGGTTTCTGCAAAGCATCAGTTATCTGATTCACTGGATGCTTCTAGAAAATCTCAGAAAAGACATTGCCAGGGACTGTCCACCCCTCTGTTACCCCCACGCCGTAAAGCAGTTTTGGTGATTTGCTCTCTTTGGCAGTCACTTAGAAATACGCTCCTGTTCTTTTCTCTATTTGGCCACAGAGGCTGCCTGAGTTTCTATTTCTTCTTTTAAAACGCGGCCATCGTTAAAGCCAGACTTGGTGATATTTCTTAAGCTTCTGCCTCAATTTTGTTTCTTTTTCTATAGTCTTTCCAGAACGACTTCATCACATTAGCTTTTATTTAGTGCGAGTAGGAAGACCCATAAGTGTGCAGTGGGTGAAATACAGGTTATCGGTGGTGTTGACAGTGCGTGTCCTCAGGCCAAGCCCTGTCAAGAGGACCAGAGAAGGGTGGGAATTTCACAGTGTAATAAAGTTATCCTGGCTGCCAAGAAGGATGGAAGCTGTATTTCTTCCTTTTTATATTCCTTCATCTCAATTTAACCCATCAAACTTAAGTGCCTACTGCATGCAGGGCCACACTCAGAACTGGGGGGACACAAGTAAATTTAAAAAGCTCCCCTCTACCTGGGGCTCCCTGGTTTATTGAAGAGGGCAGGTGCATATAGGACTTTATAGTGTCCAATTGGTGCCAGACATGTTTGCATGTCTGGCCACTAGAGACAGGAGGAGTTTAGGTCAATGCTGGTATTACAATGAACAAGTCATGTAGACCTCATTTTCCTCACCTAGAAAAGGGGAATAATATTTCCCTCTTTATGAGATGATGTCTGTCAGTCAACAGAGGCAGACACAGCATAAGTGTTTATTACATGTTACCTCTTCTCCTTGGTCCTAGTGCTTTTACTGTCCCTGATGACTATGTGAACAAAGTCTGGGATGGATGACTCAGTTCCACTGTGGGAGTCCAAGGTGGCTTCATGGAGGAGGTGACAATGGAACTGTGTCCTTAAGTATCATTAGGAGTTTGCCAAGCCAAAAAAAAAAAGGAAGTTTCAGACAAAACAACCAGCATTTACAAAGTCCTCGAGAAAGGGATGAAGGATGCAAATCACAGCAGGATCAGAGGCTGAGTCACCCAACTAAGTTAACTATGTACACATGTGTGTTTGGGGCCAAGTTCCTGAAAGCCTTGAAGGCCAAGTAAAGGAGCTTAACTAGAGTTATCCAGTGGGTCATGGGGAGTCTCTCGAGAGTCTCAAACTGGGGTTGACACAACTCAGTCACCCGACACCTCAGCTACTGCCTGGGAAGTTCTCTCATGTCCACTCCCTTTTGCTCTGCCCACCCCCCACCCCCACCCCAGATCATCAAGGACCAGAAGCTGCTTGTGATCGTGGGGGGCATGCTGCTGATCGACCTATGCATCCTGATTTGCTGGCAGGCTGTGGATCCCCTGAGGAGGACGGTGGAGCGGTACAGCATGGAGGTAAGCAGGCACCTGAACCCCGGGAAGGCGCACGTCACCCTGGCTGCCGGGGGACACGGCTTGAAAAGACACCACGTGGCTAAAGGAAAATGAGCACAGCTCCACAGGGGTCCGTCCCAACAATCGCATTTCCTTCCATTGGACTCATATTTCAGAAAAGCTGACCATAAGAGCAGCTTGGAAAATGGTGAAAGAATTGTCTCTGTAGATTAAAATATGCAGAATTAAGGGCAATGTGACTCCTTAAACCTATATTCTCTATACATTGCAAAAGCCCCCCATCTATATGATTCATCAGTTCAGAAATTGTTGCCTTTTTTTTTTTAATGTTGCCTTTTTAATCTCTCCTTTAAAGTAAGTTCCCAAAGGCATGCTATTAAGGAATAAACATTCCAATAGCTCCTTCTAGTAACTATATGGTTTTCAAAATGATAAACAATAGATTTCTTTTCCTACACTTGTTAACAGAAATTTGTCGTTAAAAGAACGTTTCCATCAGAATGTTGTCAAATAGAGAATGTAATCATCTTACCTTTGACCTTGCCCTTGACCCACACTGGTGAGTCACACGCTGGTCTCCCTAGCATGCTCCAGCTTAGGGAAGTTCAAGACCCATTGGAATTTGTAGTTTTGTGAACTTACTCTTAAACAGTGAAATACACTTTTGCCAGAGACAACCGTGTTGAACGGCCATGTTGTGCAGTACGGCATCAATTCCACATGGTGCAGCAAATTCTCTTGAGAAGCTGGAGTTTTCCCCAGTCTTCTTGATGAAGTAAGGAGCTCTTTTTAAGGGATTGACTGTGAATTCTGCAACTAAAGTGTAAATTGTCATTATATGCATTGGGAGCAGATTTTTTGATCCTTCCAGACAAGGTGTTCTAGCAAATAAGATGCCCAGCCTCCTTTGTCTGGAAATAAAAGGTTTACTCAGCCCAGTAACAAGTTATGCAACTGGAGAAGTAGCAGAAAATGACATTTTCTAGGGTGTGGATTTAGGAGGAGAGATTCGGGGCTGTAAGTCTCCACCTCACTGCCTGATGCATCTGTGCTGGGAGGAAGTGGGACTGGGGCAGGCGAGGGTGGGGGTGGGGCAGGGCACAACTTAACCCAGAGCAGGCAGAAGATGGACCTGACATTGGCAGTGCCCATGGGCCAAGGGGGCAGACAGTCTGTTTCCAGCCCAAAGTGACATCTGGTTACTATTCAGGGTGCACCACTGGCAATGAAGCAGTCCCTCCCTGCTCTGTTCTGGGGAGCTCCCCACCCACCACTAGGATTTAGAAATCTGCACAGTGTCAATACTAGGCTGTTACTAACTAACAGGGCCCCCCCCCTTCTAGAGAGAGCTTGGGGAGCTGAAAATCACAAGCAATACTGCCAATAATAGCAATGGTGATGATGATGCTAGTTCTGCGTGTTAACTCATTTAATCCTCAGTTATTAATAACACTGTGAAACAGGTGTTATATCCTTAATTCTATGTAAAGATGAGGAAGCAGAAACCTGGAAGGGTTCTATACTCACCCGTGGCTACCTAGCAGGTTAGTGGGAACACCAACAGCCGTAGTGCTCAGCACTCCCCTCCCCTGGCTTTCAACACAAGGACAGAGCTTTGCCATTTTTAGGGACTTTCATACACCTCTGATCCCTGGCCACAGATCTGTGAAGCAGGGAGGGCAGGAAAGCACTTTACATTCTATGGGAGACTAAACTTGGAGTCAGGGCAGGAGGACCCGGAATACCAGGGAGAGAAGAGGTGAGTCAGGCAGAGCCTGCTGCAGCAGGGAATACAGACCAGGCCCAGCTGGCCAAGCTGAGCCCAAGGGGCCAGTGCACCTGCTCAAGGCTAAGTGGAGAGCACAGTACACCAGGCACAAGGGGTCCCCGAGGCTCCACTGTGGTGGGAAGAGGCTGCAGGCCCAGAGTTTGAGTCCAGAAATGGATCCAGGAAGTGGTTCCAGGAAGCATGTCTCCCTGGGCCACTTAAAGGAAATCAACCTTCTGAAATCCAATTAGTCAAGCTGACAGTTTGTCTAACCCATCTTCCCTTGCTTCCTATGATAAACACCGCTGTGCACGGAGCCCTAGCTGGTTCCAGACTTCCCAGCGCAGTGAGTCTCCAGCTGAGGAGCGTGGGTTCCATGTCAGTGCCCCTCTGTGTTGCCAAGGAGGAAACTAGCCAGGGGACAGGGAGGGCACTCCTGAGGGTCACTGCTGGTGGGGGGGCACATGCAATCTTTCCAAGGGAAGGCTTGGAGAGAGCAGCTCCCTGGCTCAGGGCCTAGCTACTCTGACTCTGTGTTTCCCTCCGGGCGTCTACTGAGATTTCTCTCTGAACCTTTTCTGGCTGGTTCCTCTTTTTCTCCTCTTATTTTAGGGTTGCCCTGTAGCAGTTGCCATGGTAGCAGAACCCTTTGATTTGTCCGTTTACTGTGGGTTTTCCACTAAACAGCACCAGGCCATCGTTGATTTCTCTCAGACTCTCCTCTGTCGTCAGACTTAGCCTGAAGGTTGAACAGGGTACCCAGGGATGAGGCATCCTAAATTCTCCTTCCAGGGCCTGTGTCTCCCAGGACCCCTAGCGACAGGAAGATCAGAGACCTGTGCGGCCTCTCTCCTCCCACCCCTACATCCATGCCTGTGATTGCTCTGGACCCCTTTGGATTCCAGTCACAGGCTTTGCTCTGTGTTACTCTTTCAAACCTTTATTCGGGCCATGTCTCTACCCCACACTCCTTTCCAGAACCTTCTCTGCCAAGTAAATGACTTGACCTTTCGTACCAGACCACTGTTACCTGTCTAGGAACTTATCTCTGAGTTCTCTGGCTCCACCAGATCTAAACTCTTCTCTCCCCTTCCCACCCCGATGTCCTGCATGTCCCTCTGTGGGACAGTTAGTGCAGTATTCTCCTGGGCTGTGTGTGCCCCTGCCACACACCTGCTGGACAGCCAGCTTCTCCCCAGGCAGGACCGCATCTAAGCCAGCTCCTGCATTGTGCAACCCAAAAGCTTCCCCTAGGGAGACAGGTGAGTGCAGCCTCCTTCCGCCTTTATCTCACCAGGGGAGCAGGGGAGGGCAAGACAGTAAATATGCATTTAGCAGTAAAGACTTAGAAGATTTTGAGTTTTACTTTATTATAGTTACCTTTTTTCCTTTTTTTAATATATATTTTTACATCATTTTCCATTTTTGTACAATGTGTGCTTTTTCACCAGGCAACTATAGATCAGAGACATTATGCAGGGGAGAAGGAGGGAGAAGGACCAGGACAGGGGTGGGCAGAGCACAGGGGACTGTGGTGATGGTGGTCAGGGGAATCGGTGGTGGGAATTTCACCGGGAAACCATACAATGTACAAAAATGAAGGATGATGTAATGACTATATATATTTTAAAATTTTTTTAAAGAAGTAAATAAAGAGAAATGGAGGGGCTGGGGAATAGCAGGAAGGGCCCACCGAGATTGCCCCAGTAAGCCTGCGTGCAGGTGGCAAGGAGTGAAGCCCAATTCCAGAGTCCCGCTGGAGACATCACACGCTGCAACCTTATTCATTTGTATGCAATTAGTTTACATAACGCTGGTCACAAACCAGATACTTCTAAATGGATAATGTGTATCACTTAAAATGTTTGTACTTAATGGATAGACTTTACTGATTTGAGCAGTTTTCAGTTATGACAGTTTAATGGAGTTTCCATGTACTCCCATCCTCACCCAGCAGTTTCCCCTGTTAGTAACATCTTCCACTGTGCGTTAATTTGATCACTGATAAATCAATAGGGAAACATTATGATTCCACTAAAGTCGATCGCTTACACTAGGGTTCACTCTCTGTGTTGTGCCTTCTGTACGGTGCTCTGCATGACACCATACAGAACACTGTCCCTGTCCTCTCTGCTTCACTAACCCTGTCAACCACTGATCTGTCTACACAGTGTCGCTTTTTCCAAAATGGCAGATAGTCAGAATCAATCCCAAAATGTGTGTAGCCTTTCAGAATGGCTTCTTTCACTTAGCAGTATGCACTGAAGTTTCCCACGTCTTTCATGACTTGATAGCACATTGCTTATTATGACTAATATTCTATGGTATCAATGCCCCACAGTAACCACTGCACAACTTCTCGTAACTTCTAAGTTTTGATAGTTATGAAAAAAAGCTCTATCTACATTTTGTGTGTGCTGGATTTGGAGTAGGGGGTTTTTGTGTTGACACAAAAACACATTTGGGTAAATACCTAAAAGAATTGCTGGGTCATATTTTTTTGTTGGTTTTTTGTTTTTCTAATTTTTGTGTAGAACAATTGGGGTGTAGGCCAGAGGTGCAGGGGATGATGAGAAGATTTACCCAAAACAGAGTAGGGAGCAGAATAGGAAGATCAATGAAATACACTGAGGAGGGGAGCAGCAAGTGAGACAGGAGAGGTCTGTTGTGCCATGTGGGTCAGCTCCCTGGCTGGGAATTGTCAGTGGTGTAATGCTAAGACTTGACCCCTAGGCCACCAGGGAGGCCCTTTGATCATATGTTTTGAATTATAGTTCAGCTTTGTGAGAAACTGCCAACTTGGCTGGTAAAGAGATTACCCTGTTGTAGCACATCCACCATGAATGAGATTCCTGTCTGCCCGCATCCTGGCCGGCCTTCAGGGCTCTCAGTGCTTGGGGTCTTAGCCTTTCTTACTACATTCTTGCTTTTAACTTAGAATCCCCTAGCATGACAGGGAACCCCTTCTCATATGCTGCTTCATCATCTGTGTTTCTGCCTTGGAGAGACACCGTTCAGACCTTTTGGCCACTTTTTTTTTTTAAGATATATTTATTCATACAGAACTGGGGTACAGGCCAGAGGCACAGGGGCGGTGAGAGGATTCACCAGAGACAGAGTGGGGAGCAGAACAGGCAGATCAACAAAGTACACTGCTGAGGGGAGCAGCGGGGGGGTCAGGAGAGGTCTGCCACACCATGTGGTCACCTCCGGGACAGGCGGGGATCGAACT